GGAAGGGGGGGAGTGATGAGTTGTGGGAAAGTTGAATTAGGGATGGAGTTTATAGTTTCGGTTGAATGGGCTGAGTGAAACCCTCTGACTGTCACACATCTCTCATTAACTCCCTCCCTGCACTCTCGGATCGCAGGCCGCACACAAGAAAGGGTTTAGGCGGCATTCGTGTAAAAAGGCGACCCCACCACCACCACCACCTCCAGTAGCCGTCGAAGAAGCACAAGATGGTCGGCGCGCGAGGAAGAGAGATGCCCGGGAGAGGCTGGGCGCCGGGACCTTGCGATTCAGCAAGTGCTGAAGCCAAGCAAAAGAAGAAGAACACAACCTTCCGGGGCCTTTTGTGACAAGGCCACAGGCCACCAGTTCGGGAGGAGAGGGCCCTGCTGGGGCCTGGAGCTGCGTCTCCAGCAGGCTCTGAAGTCTTTATTCGCATCCCCAACCGCTGGATCCGAATTGCTCGCTCCTTCCCATCGGCGAGCCACCATGTATCTGTTGTGATGGGATTTCGTGATTGAAAAGGGCGCCAAACGGGTCACTCGCCACCCACACCCCTTTACTCCGGTGGGATTTCGTTATTGAAAAGGGCGCCAAACGGCTCACTCGCCACCCACACCCCTTTACTCCGAGTTTGGCCCAGTTGTGCGCGGGGGAGTCCGACCCGCGAGGCCACCCGCCGAGTGCGCTCTCAGGTGGAGAAAGGCGAAGTTCAAAGAAGGCTGGCGGTCCTACCGGCGCTTCTACCAAAGGGATTGTTTTATTTTATTTTATAAAGGCGGCTCAGGAAGGGATCGAGAGAGAGAGAGAGAGAGAGAGAGAGAGTGTAAAAGGGGGAAAGAGAGAGGCGAACAGATGCGGCCGCGTCGAGTTGTCCCAGCCACCAGCCTTTAACTCCTAGCTCCCAATTGGATTTAAGTGCCTCTTTATTATTATTTTTTTCCCCTTGAAGTACAGGTATCATATTTCCCACAACTCTTTTCAAAAACTCGGAAAAGAGGTTCCAAATGTAGGAAGAGAGCGGAGCGGAGCCAGCTTCCTGAGGAGCAGCGATGGCCACAGAGCGACCACTGCTGTTTGGGAAGGGGGGGCGGTCAGAGAAGAGGCAACGCTCCCAGGGCAATGGGGGGGCGGGCTCGGCGATGCGCGGTCCTGATACGCCTGCTGGGTTTTTAAACACATCCCCTACCCACACACACACACACACCATCGCCCTAGTCCCAAACCAAGGTCCCCTCCCGTTGGGGTCCGAGGCGGATCCCTTCCTGGTGGCCCACCTAAGGGCCTGGATCGCAGGCAGGAGAGGAGGGGGACCCAGGCCCGCTGCCTCCCCCTGCGCCTGTTTGGCCTCTGTCGCCGGTGGCAGGAAGGGGGGCCGCAGCGCTTTGGAAAATATCCTTTCTGGATAATTCGGGGCGTTCTAGGGAAAAAGTAACTTTCCTCCCTGAGGAGGCGGGCTCTCCCGTGAACTCCGAATGAACAGTTGCCATTTGCGATCCCTTGCCACGCTTTCCTCCGAGCGTGGCTCCTTCCCGGCTCCAAGTCCCTTCGGATTCTCTCCCGGCGGTCCGGCGGGAGTCGAGGTCTCGGCCCGAGTCCTCTGGGGTGGCGGCTCCTGCCCTCGGCCAGCTGGGAGGGCTCTGCCAGGCCGACACATGTTTGTGAGAACCTGCGGCGCTGGATTTTCGCGCGCGGGGGGGGGCGGGAGCGAAATGTTCTTTTTCTCTTCCAGTTATCTTGACAAATGAGTTGTTGCTGAAGGAAGAAAAATAAGCACACCGGGGAAAGGAAGGTCGGCAGCCCCAGAAGGACCCGGCAAAGGTCGACTCTGACCCCCCCCCCTCCCCAGGTTCGCTGCTTGTTATGGGTGATCTTTGCTTCCCCTTCAGCGATTCCTCCCCCCTCCCCCTTTACCCCAAGGTCAGTCTCAGCCGAAGACTTTGAAAGCCTTGAAAGTTGAAAACCGGAGCAAGGAAGAAACCAACAAAGCACCGGGGGGGGGGGCTATCATTCCGACCCAAACCTGAGAAGCTGGTTCCTACAAATGGAACACAACGAGCTTGCAAAGGAGGACAAAGAGTCCCGGGCTGGCACCTGACCGCTGAAAAAGGCGCTTGATATTTCCTCGGGAGCGGGACCGCCACCGGCATGTGGATTTTACCCTGAGACACACTCTTTATATTGTCAAGCGACTCATAAAATAAAAGAGACAAGGACTCCGAATGTGGAAAGCGTCTGATGTTCTCTCAGTTCAAGGACAAGAACGGTGGGCTGGGCTTTGTCTCCCACCCTCCCTCCTCCCCGTTTCCCCTTCGTTTTTACTTCCCGCTGCTCTCGGGGAGAACGACCGAAACCCAGAACCAGGCTTTCATTCTAAGTTCGTACACTTGACAGCAAGCCCATCAAGAGGAATCCTCCATGAAACTATATTTACTCGGAAGTAAATTTTCATGTCAACGGACTTTTCTTCCACAGAGAGGCAAAGGGTCCCCAGCATGGCCCCGCAGGGCACAGTTGCAATCCTGTCCACACTCCCAATGATTTGGGCTTATTGAACTGAATGGGGCTTCCAAGGGTGGGAGGGGTGTGTGCATGGATTGTACCCATGCTGACAAGAGGTGGGCACGTGAGTTTGCAGGGTTCTTGGTTCTTGCTGAGAGCTGATTTTCAACCCTGCAGGTAAGGCCGTTTCTGAGAGCTGCGATCCACACAGGATCGTCAGGAAGAGTTCAGAAGTTCGGACGGGCGGCTGAGCAGGCTTACTGCGGCTTGTTATTGTGGGAAGCTGCGATATTGAGGTTACTTTCGAGTCCCCTGTTCGGGATCGAGGTTCCTTCCGTTTTCGGCCATCAGGCATTGAGGGCTTGGAGATGTCAGACTACAGCTCCCAGTAGCCACGGCTGGGGAATTCTTGGGCGTTGCAGCCCAAAATACATCATCTCCAAAACTCGAGAAACTTAGTTAAAAAGAGCTTCTCTTCTTTTAGTGCATTTATTTTCCCTTCTAGAGTGGGAATCGTCCGTGTATCACGTTTCCCTTTCCCAGACGCTGCATCTTGAAAAACTGTCAGCGCAGAGAAGGCAGCTTCCCCGGGGGCTTCCGGTGGTCATAAGAGCTTCCCCATCCCCTTCGGAAGCACCGTCAAAAGCCCGCTTGGGACTCTCTCCGGAACAAGAAGACTGGCAGCCAAGGCCTTGTCCGGTCCTTTTATCCATTTACCAAGCTGGCTAACAGTGGAGTTTCCGAAGGACACGCGCAGGGAGGGCGCTGAAGTTGCCGCGATGCCACGGTCCGCCTGCGCGCGGGCCCAAGACGCGCAAACTGCGGGTCGCTCACCCCGGCGCTTTGGGAAGGGAGCGATGCGCTTCTGCTGGTGAGTTTCGAAAATACTGACCGAGTAGCCATCCTTGGCATCAAGGAAGTCCCGGGGAATCGCGCGCACTGAGAGACGCGTTGGACTTGGATTTGGATTCCCCATGCACACACGGTAAAGTTTCTGGCCCTCGTGATCCCCTCGACCTGCTATGTGACAGCTGTGTGACAGCCCTGTTTACGGTTTCATCCGATACCAGGCGGGATACAGAGTCTCTTACAGAGCAATTTGCCCTCAGCAACTGCAGTAGAGAAAAACCTGCGCCCGGCCGGCCACCTTGCAAGGCACCTGCAAACTTGCAAGGTGAGCCGTGTCGCGGCTCCGTGCGCGCCCGCTCCTCCTCCTCCTCCTCCTCCTCGCGAGTCTCCCTCCCCATCTGACTTGGCCTTCCGGACTCAGTTTTGGATTGAGGAATCCCACCGCCCACTGACTGGCCCGGTGTCTTTTGGAGCCGGTGTTCGCCGCGGTTCGGCCTTTTGGTCCTGACCGCTCTTTCCTTTGCCTTTCATTGTTACTGCTTCTGGTATTATGAGTTGTTCTTAGTTATTACTTCGATTGCTATGATTATTTTGGGGATACTTGTTCCACTGTCACGAGATATCTTGATATCTTATGAAAATCTCGTCCCTTCTTTCAATATACTGTAACGGCTAGGGCACCTTGTGTTGCCCATCAAGTAACTTTTTTTGGTGCCTTTTTCCTCCCTTGTCTCTTGTTTTTGCGCAGGATTTGCGTCCCGGACGGCAGGCGCCTGGGCGTGCGCTCCGACCCGCGGCTCTCCTCCCGCCGAGTCTAGCCGAGGCCGGGCTGGGGACGATGGGCAGCAAGGCCCTCCCGGCGCCGATCCCGCTGCACCCGTCCCTGCAGCTGACCAACTACTCCTTCCTGCAGGCGGTCAACACCTTCCCGGCCGCCGTGGACCACCTGCAAGGCCTGTACGGCCTGAGCGCCGTACACACGATGCACATGAACCACTGGACGGGTTTTGGGGTAGCCCCTTGATTCCTACCCCATGAAAGAACACAAGCCATCACCAATTGTACTAGTTGCCTTTTTCTGTTACTGGTTAAAACCTAGTGGTAACTTGCAACTGGAGTAGGCCCATTGAATCAGTGGAACTTATGGAGGACTTGACTCACCACAGCCCCATCGATTCAGTATTCTACTCTACTTGCAGCTTACTACTGGATTTTGGTCACTGTGTTTTGTATGTTTGTATTGTTTCATGCTTGTTTACACAGTTAGTCATTAGCATGCATGCAGCCTGGGCTCAGATGTATCATTAACTTAACCAGCTGTGTTTTTGCTTATTGTTTCGTATATATTTATGCACCCACAAGGACCCGGACCGGAAGCCCGCGCGCGGCCGCCTGCCCTCCAAGACCAAGAAGGAGTTCATCTGCAAGTTCTGCGGCCGGCACTTCACCAAGTCTTACAACCTGCTCATCCACGAGAGGACCCACACGGACGAGCGGCCCTACACCTGCGACATCTGCCACAAGGCCTTCCGGAGGCAGGACCACCTCCGCGACCACAGGTCAGCTTTTGCCGCCTTCCCTCCAGCCCCAATAGGAACCGGCTCAACTTCCTTGTTCATGTCCCCCCCCCACACACACACACAACCTCCTCCCACTTAAGCCTCTGCCGTGCTGAGAAAGTATGCATCGCCCTACCAGGGCCGGATTCTGTGTTCTTGGAAATAAATGGTGGTGAAATGATTCGTGTAGCTCTAAGAAAGCCCCGGTCTCCTTCTGTCTCCAGTGTGTGTAGTGTGGGAGTAACCTCATGCTGGCCTACCTTACAGGGTCGATGTCAGGCTGTGGGAGAGAGGGATCACACTTGGAAAGTTCAAGCCCTCTCTGAACACTAGGTATTGGTTTTCTCACTGTCCACTGATACTATTCATTTTCAAGAAACTGAACTTGAGGCTGGAGGTCGTGCGGGTTTTTATTTGCATGGAAGTACAGTACCATGAATGATAGCCAGGGGTTTGCTAGGTTTTGAACCAGGCCTCTTTCCTTTTCAGTGGAGACAACTTACTTGGCAGGAAAAATACTGTGCTGCGGAGGGGTGTGTGTGCTGAATTAGCCCCCATTGACTTTGATGGAACAGATTTATCACTGTGGTTAAAAGTGCAATCTGAATCACACGATCTCCAGAGACCTTTCACTGGACTCCTCTTAATGAGTGTCTGTAACTTCAAATTTAAGAAAAAGCTCTAGGGGTACTTTTGCTGGCACTTTCCAACTATCACTAAGTGCTTGGTGATTACAGCAAAACTCTTTATTTACCTCCATACAAGAAATTTACTTGTTGCAAATCCAGTTACAAAGCAGCAGGTAACATCAGGAGATTTATTGCTTAGAAAAACTAATGTGGATCAAAATGGAAAGGGAAGTAGAGAGCAGCAGGGCTCTGGGAGAGGAAAATTGCCTAATGCCAATGGAATGGATGTTCTTTTCTCTCCCAGAGAAACAATCTTTACAGTGGTTTTGTTTACAAATTTGAATAAATAGCCCCTTTCCTCAACAGCCAAAACATTGGGGTCTCTTCCTACCCCCTACCCACCCCTGAATAGACACCCCTGGTTACTTTCTGATCACAGGAAGAGAAGACCTGCTTCTGTTGGATCTATGAGCCTCTAGGTACACACCCCACTGACATTAACAAGACATGGGGTCAACTGTGTGTGTTTGCTTGGAAGTCCCACTGGATTCAAATTGGTCTTTTCAGCAAATGGGCATGGAATGGACATCCTTTTGTAGTGACTCCACGTATTTTGATTTGGTGGAATATTCTAATATGTTTAATGGTGCTTATGGCACACAGGAAAGTGTGTATCTGCTTGTTTCCTTTCATTTTGTTAGCAGAGAGGGGAAATGAAGCTTTGAGGAGAATTACTGTCAAGCCTCTGAAAACTGCTGAAAGAGAAAAGGAATTTGGCTCACTATTATGTGGTTTTCAGAGGCTTGAATTACCAAGAGGCTGTTGTGGCTTTTTTGGTGTGTTTACAAATACTGATTGCAAATGCCTCTATTGGTTTCCAGGTATATCCATTCCAAAGAGAAACCGTTCAAATGTCAGGAATGTGGGAAAGGATTTTGCCAGTCCAGGACTCTAGCAGTTCATAAAACTTTACACATGCAGGTAAGGTTAGATCACATCACTTTATAGACAGTCTATTTTGACTCTGAGTCTGTTCCACCTCTTTCTGCGGAATGGATATAAGTATTAAAGATAAGTTTCTCTTTAGATATCTAAAGAAACAGTAAGTCAGTTAGCTGGATATTCCTTTAAGCAGAGTATCTTTTCTGCCTTTACCTTCTAAATGCATCCCAGTACTGTGAAAATCGAACACACACCTGGAGTCTTTATTTGTTCAGAATCATTTAATTTATTTTGGGGACGTGAAGCAAGTGGGGTGGGGTGGGGGGCAGGGGAAGATCACTTGGTGAATAAGTGTGTCCCTTGAAACTTTCCAGTGCAATCTTAATCTCATGTCCCATTGAATTTAGCAGCATTTCTTCAGGTTGTATTGGTTCATTTACAACTTACATGACCCAAAACTGGAATTTTATTTTATTTTTTGGAGGGTGCTTCCAATAACAACTATCATGTGCCATCAGTTCTGACTTATGGTGAGCCTTTCCAGGGTTCTCTAGGTATACTCTGAAGTAGTTTACCTTTCCCTTTTTGGAGGGAGGGCACCTTGGAACTATACAGCTTGCCTAAGGCAACAGAGGCTGGCTCTTCTCCTGGGACCCACAATGAGGAGCTGAACATTCAGACTCTGGCTCCACAGCCAAACTAGCTTGTAAACAGCTGAATTACGTGCATGCTCTGTTTGAAAAGTTTAGATTAGAAAGACATCTGTGGAGAGCTTTTCCCTGATAGAGATGAGGCAAGTATCCCTGGGAAGCCTGGCAGATTAGCAGAAGGCATTTTTCTGTAGATTCTACTGATGGGGAAATGTGATGAAGTGAGAAGAGAACTGACCTTGACGTGCAGGAAGATATATCCTTGCACTCCAGCCTATAATCTTAAGCATACTTACTAAGAGCGTCTCCCAGGGAACTCCTGTAGAATAACATCCGACTAAACATCCATAGGATCAACCTGTAAAATGCCCTATTGCAGATACGTACGTAATCTGTTGTACCTGCATGGCAGATGCATTTACTGAGAAATAATTTGTCTCTGAGCACAGGAAAACTGGCCTTCGGGTAAGGCTGTAATCCCATGCTTAGCCAAAGAGATAAGTGACTGGCAGAAAGTCATTTGGGAAGGGGAGTTGGCTAGGGAAGGGTTTTAATTCAGGTCTCCCTTCTTTGGCCAAAACAACCTAGTTTGCTTTCTATTACCTTTCTTGGAAGTTACTTCCAAGGAAATGTTCATGAGTGGATATCGTGCATGCTAGGATCCTCATCCAGGCTTCCTATCATCCTATGGATGTTAACCATTGAGTAAAGCTCACTGAAGTCTAAGTACATGTTCTACAATTGATTTATAGACAGCATGGGTAGTTTAGTCTAATATATTAAACAAGTATGGGTGGCACCTTACCTCAAATGGTAGCAGGTGATACCCCTTACACTTGATCCCCAGGTTGCTGCTGCACATGAACATGTGGTCATCAGCAGTATTTTCTGCTAATTTTGAGGTGCATGGAATCACAGCTTTACCTGGAGACCGTTTCAGCTGATCATATTTCTCAACGTGATTTGGGATGGCAAGTTTATCCCTGCTCTCCACACACACACACACACCCATGGTAGTATTATATAGTTTAAGCCAAAACAGGGGACATGGGGGAAATCTAGCTCTGAAGCTGGGGTGGAGAGGGGGGGGAGTGTGAAATTTGAAAAGCAACAGCTCAGTAATTTAGGTAGTTTGTAAAGGGTTTAATCCTTTGCTTGCTTCAAATCTGAACAGGAATCTCCACACAAATGCCCCACATGTGGAAGAACCTTTAATCAAAGAAGTAACCTGAAAACTCACCTTCTCACCCATACAGACATCAAGCCCTACAACTGTGAGCGGTGCGGCAAAGTGTTCAGGCGAAACTGTGATCTGCGGAGGCACAGTCTAACTCACACCCCACGGCAGGACTTCTAGAGCAGCCGAGAACCTCCACAGGGAGCTAACTCTGGCTCAAGGACTTGAACTGTAGGAGAACTGTCTTTTTGCCCGCACACATGCGGAAAGATATACGCAAGGGGCCCAGTCCTCTCTGTCTCCTTGCTCCAGCCAAATCCTCTGCGAGATGGATGGGGGAGTAATATCAGCCCCAAGTCTTCTCCCCACGCTGAGAGTTCAGGCTGATTTTTTTGTAGATAATAAGAGCGTAGCTCATTTTCGAGCTCTGTACAGAAGACAAGTGGTACAATGTGTTTGCTTCCTTTTGTCTTACCGAATGCACATTGGTAACAACAACAAAATCTGGGAGTGAAAGTATCTTTTTGTCCCCAACGTGTATTTCCAAATAAACATCTCCCCCCCAACAAAATTCTCTCATACTTGGTTTGTGTAAATAATGTGATTATTTAATCCTCCTCCTTTTGTGCCAATTAAAAAAAATAAAGAAAGTAATTTCTTAAGGGCTAGCTGTTGAAGCCAATTTTGTTTCTACATTTCAGTCTGACTTTTCCCTCTAAGAAACTGGTCTGATTTTGAAAATTATTATGTTTGTGGGAATGTTTGCAAATGTTTATAATGTTGTAATTATGTGCACGACTACCCAGATGTCAAATGAGCAGGACACTGGCGCTTCCAGACAGAAGGTTTCCTGTACTGCTGATCAAAATATATTGTGCTGCTATTGTATTTTGCTCTGTTTTACAGCTTTCTTTTCCTGGAAGAAGTTGTGGGAAAATATGGAGAGGTTACAAAGGGAAGATGGCATTACCCATCCCCTGTAAAATTGTATTTTTAGGGGGGGTAATGCCATCTTCCAGAATTGGAAGGTGCATTAGCATAGCTGTTTCCCAGTGCAACCCATTGAGTGTCCATTGAGACCTAAGTCCAGCTGAATCCAGTGGGTATAAATACACTTATCTGAGTATGATTTTTAGGGTGAGGCTCACTTCTAAGTGAATATGCTGAGAACTGGGTTGCACTCTTCATGTCTACTCAGTCCCTTTTGAGGACAGTGTGAGGTTGACTCCAGAACTAGAAAAACTTGAGTTTTGGGGCTACGACTCCCGGATGGCCCCTGCAGTCTAGGGTTTCGGGGAGTTGTAGTCCAAAAATAAACCCTTCTAAATGTTGAGGCTGTCACTGCATTTCTAACAGCACCCCAGTAGCATGTAAACTCCGGGCCAGCCCCGTTGTGATCAATGGGATTTACTCCGAGGTCAATATGTAGAGAGCAGGGTAGCCGAGGTGCGCCGCCGTCTTTTCTTCCAAACGCTTGCATTTTTGGGTGCTTTTCCTCCCGCCTTCTCCTCACCCCCGACCCTTTTACTCCCTCGGCCTGCCTGTTCGGGAGTCCTCCTACAACGAGTTAAAGAAAAACAAACGGGGAGGGGAGGGCGGGTTGAGAAATCCTTCAGAATCCTCCCTAAACCCTAAAGTGACTTATTAGTAACTTATTGGCAATCAGGCCCCAGCAGCCATAATCTGCTCTTCTCGACAGATTGCCCGAGATAGCCGACGAAGACGACGCCTCCCTTCCCGTTTAGACCTTTGAACGGGGGCGGC